TGAATCTGGTGTAACTCTCCAACGATCTGATTTCACCCACGAAGGCGCACTCTTCCATTGTCCATTGAGCCAGACAGACGCCATCCAATTGCCACTGACAAACGGATACAGACCCCCTTTTTTTTACAGCTCGCACAAAAGTACACGGAACACCCTCTTCGAATTAAAACACACAGTCTCGCGAGAACAAGGAACAGCGATTTTATATTTTACGAAAAGAAGTCGCTAGTCCTCATGGTGACAGGGTGGAAAATATTTAAAAGTAGAACCACCTTGAGGAAGGTGGAGCCATATCACATCCTGGCAGGAGGCCTAAATTGGTGGAACGCTCAGGCCCCGCCCATTCAAAGAGGACCATTAATTTAGAGAGCTGCTATCTTCCAAACTGTGAGACAACATGGCAAAAGGGGAGCCCTGAATGGAACTTTGCGTTTTTGTCTGTTCCGTTCATCAAGCTTTTGTTTGCGATCTGCCGTCTCTTCCAGCGCAGAAGATCCATTGTCTTGATTTGTGCTCGAGAAAATCCCCCCCCCCCCTGCGCGCGCGCGCCCCGCTTCTCCTCCCCTTTTGGTTCATACACATAGTCTCTCCCTATTGCAATTGTAGGATTATTTATTTTTAAAACTCAACACAGGGGCGGGGAGAAAAGCTTAAACATTTCCCTTAAGTAAAGAGGAGGTTGTGTTAGCTCAACAAGGCTCCAATCCTAAACACAGTTCTTGAACGCACACACCCTACAGAATACTGCGAGATTTACAGTACATCCGAATAGATGTAAATCTACTCTTTAGAAATTAGTCATTTACATGGAAGCTACTTTCATTGGAACCAATATATCACTATTTTCTGAGACTATGTATTTGGAAGGTATAATTCGTATGCATGACAGACACACTTCTTCCTCTATTTTACGCACACTGTTGTTGTCGTTGTTGTTGCTAATTTGTTAAGGTACCCAAAGGGGAGATTTTTAGAAACCATGTTGGTAAACGAGTCCCTTTATGGATATAAATCCGGGGTCTACTAATGTTCTGCAGCCTCTGTACCCTTATTCAGGACTAAGTCCATAATTCTGAACATGACGAAGCCTACTGCGGACTTGAGTGCGACACTGCTGAAGACGAGGGGCCCCGAAGTCACCCCTTTCGGGGAGATGGGAATTATTTTTTGCCTCTTTTTAAAAAAAAAAAAATCCTGGCAAGGCTACACTGAAGAACCAACTCTGACTACAGTAGTCACTTCCTGAGCGCTTTTACAAATGCAACTTACTCCGTGTACCTATTAGAAAGCAAATTGCACTAGAAATAAGTTGTAGTTCAGTAACATTTTAGTAATACCTAGAGATGGATACGGGGGACAGGAGTTGAATTCTTCTAAACACAATTTAGCGTCCAAGGGCTCAGCTGTGGACCCCTGAAATGTTTCAGACGGCTGTCCAGTTCCCACGACCAGATGCTTCTGAACTTGGATGTTAAGGAAGAAACCAGGACTAAGGCTGGTCAATTGTTGGAATTCATCTATGACCTTATAAAGTAGCTTTCCCCCAACCTCCCTATTTTTATTTTTATTTTAAAGTATTTAATTATTTAATTATACACTGAAGAGGCTGGTAAAATGTGTTGAAGAAAGAACGAACGAACTTGGGTTTCTAAAGCTGGTCAAGCGAGGAAATTAACAGCATCCGATTCAATGAGCGACCAAATCGAACTGTTTGTGGAAGCCACCCCTCTCTCCAATTCGCTCATACACGCGAATGATCCTTCGGACTACACACATGCACCCCCCATTTTCAGGGTGAAATAAATAAATAAATCCCCCAGCCAACGAATTAAATCCGCTAGAGCAAGTCCCATTTGAAAACAAACCACAACCTCCGCGCCTCTCCTAAAGTACACAGCAACATCCAAACTTTTCAGGTGGGAACACAGATAGGTACACACGGGAGATGAACCAAGTGGAAGCAAACTCGTTTTGCAGTACGTGTGTGTGTGTGCGCGCGCGCGCAATGAGGTGGGGCAGAAATAAACTGGCGGGTTGAGGGCGGAATTTTAGGGCGGGCGGTGAGCAGATTAGATTCTATCTTATTTACCTTGCAGTATCTTCTGCCAAGGTGAGGAGATACAACAACAGCCACTATAGCAACAATAACAATAATATCAAAATGATGACTCCCTCTTCCAGTATCCCGAATGCAGAATCAGCTCATGTCTGGGCATACAACCAAACGCCATCGAGGTTAGAAGTGATTGGGAGGGACAAGCGCCCCCCAAACAAGAAGATCGACCCCTCCCCTCCCCCCCCACACGCTTGCTCACCCCAACACATTGTTGGACTTGTATAATTAACATCCACTGCTATTTTTCCTTCGGAGCTCTTTACACCTGTGACAAAACTCGCCCACCCAGAAATATACTTTGCCTCTTCTGTCGCCAGTGGGAAGTGGGGGGGGGGAGGGAGGGATATTGCCAAAGATTCCTGGAAGGGGTTAATCTTTCTTTGAACGCGTTGCCCCACACTCTACCTTCCCTTCTCCGCCGCCCCCTGCTCTTCCTCCGCTGCTGCATCTGAGTCTAGAGGAGTAAAATGCAAGGTGCCTCTTCCCCCCCCCCGCCCCCAAAACAGCAGAGACTAAAAAATATGGGGGGGAGAAAGGGGGGGAAGAAAGCAATTTTTTGCTAATTGGCTAATATCTTTCTCTAATGCACCTCCAATTCTTCTTCTCCTTTTCTCTCTCTTCTCTCTCTTTCTCCCCCCCCCCCCCAACTCTGGTTTCGTTTTAAAACCTTGCTTTCGCTTGTTGCAGGGAGAGTACCGGGGTTGGAGCGTGGCTAACCTTTCTAGCCCTGTGGAAAGTGCGGGACAACAAGAAAACAAAAACAAACCTCTCTCCCCTGTTTAAGAAACAGTTAAACACTCTCACTCTTTCTCGCAGGCTCCTTCCCCAGCCTCCTTTTGGCTGTCCCTTTTCCATGCTCTTATTTTCCCGGTGGGTTCTGTCTCTCAAACACACTCACATTCACACACACACAGAGAGAGAGAGAGAGAGAGAGAGAAAATCACACACTTGTTTCCCACCAAGCGTCTCTTCACAAGTCCCAGCCTTGCCTCTAAAGCGAACTTGGGCGAAAAGGTGAAATTTTCTTTATAGAGGTCGCGACCTCGCCTCGCTGCCTACCGCTCGCAGCTTCATGCTGTATTAAGCACAGTCAAAACTGCACCCTTGGAAGTGGGGGGGGGACCCCCTTCCCCTCCGCCCTCAACAACATCCCGCGCCTCCGCTCTTGGAATTGAGTAGTATCTGGAAAAGTTGCAACTAAATACCACCACCAAAATCTCAGCATTTGCAAGGAAGGGGTATTGGGGGGGGGGGGAGAGAGAGAGAGAGGCGGCGAGGGTCGTCTGTGCGTGTGTCCCACCTCCTTAGGAAGAGAGAGGGAGAGGGGTTCGAGGGACTCGAGAGAGATGATATCTCCCACAATTGTGTGGCTTTATAATTATATTGCAATCTGTTACTCTCAGTATCTGTCTCTCTTCCGCAGGAGAGAAAAACACAGCATGAGAGCGAGCGCCTCTGGGGTCATCGATCACACAAGTTCAACGGCTGCAATCCTAAACACACCCCGGGTAAGAGTGTGTAACACAACAGGCCTTACTCTGGAGTAAAGACGCAGAGGATTGCAGCCTTAAGACTGCGAGGAATTGTTTTTTGCATTATGAACCGCCTCCGGTGATTTGCAGTAAATATATAACTCGCACACGCGCACGCAGACACCCCCCGCAGACACTCGCTCACAGTAGTAACAATAAGGGATTTCCTATCTGATAAAAATCCGTGGTGCTGGACCGCATGTTAAACCTCCATCGCTGGGCACCCATCTACAATATGATCAAGATCCCTTTAGACTGCTCCTTTCAAGTAAATGTGCATAGGATCGCGTTCTAAAAGTCATACACACCTCCAGGAGAGGTGAGGGACGGAAAAGAATGGAAACCTCAGTTCCAGCCTATTCGGATTTACTCAGAAGTAAGTCTGAGAAGTAAGCATGCTCAGGACTGCAAGTTTTACGCAGCAATCCTAAAGACTCTTAACCTGGGAGTGAGGCCCTCTGAATTCAGTGGAATTGCGCGATCAAGCTTCGTGACCGCCTCGCTAGCTGGCAACTTGTCTTCCAATCCGATATACTCCTTTCCCCAAGCAAGAATATTACGCACCTTTAAAAAGCAAGACGGAAGTGTGTGCTTAAGGCGGGGGGGGGGTGTCCCAGCAACAGTGCGAGCTGAGAATTTGTTTGTTTGTTTGTTTGTTTAACTTGGACTGTCAAGTGTGTGTGTGTTTGGAGCGAGCGAGAGGGAGCCAGAAGAGGACTTTATTTTACAGACACCTCTTCACTTTCAACACAAACAAACAAATAATCATATAAACAAACAGAAACCGTCTCTCTCTCTCTCTCTCTCTCTCTCTCTCTCTCCTCTCTCTCTCTCTCTCTCTCTCTGGTTCGCTCTCTTCTATAGCAACTTCTCTTTTGCCTCCCAACAAGATGGGATATTTCTTTCTTCTTTTTTCCCTAGAGCTATTCTTACTCGGGCTTTATCCCTGCCATGAAGTGACCGAAGCGGGGTTGGGTGGGGGAGGGGGAGGGGGTGAGGGATTAGATATGAAAATAAAGTTATTTCTGGTTGGCGGTGGGCAGCGGTGTGGGGGGGTGGGGGGAGTCCGAGAAGCCCAACGGGCTTTAAAAAGAAGACAACGTTCGTCTTAACAATTATGATGGCAATAATAACATCAACAACACAGATTTGATTCCTTTTCATTCCTCCTTTTTTGAAAAAAGGTCTCTCTCTCTCTCTCTCTCTCTCTGGAGTCTATGGGGGGGGGGAGGGAAAAAATAAGTGACAAATTCTTGCAACAGTTACTCTGCGTGTCCTTAAAAAGTAAAATTCTCTCATGTTCAGACGGGGTCGGGTCTATTGAATGAGGTCCTTTTATTCTGCATGGGGCGATGGATTTGCGGCTCCGCTCTCGCCTTTATGCTTCTCTCTATGGAAACCTGGATCATGGGGAGAAATATGCGGAGCTGAATAGAGCCGAGCAGCAGAAAGGAGCGCCTGAGAGCAGCATCTGTTACACTCGGGAAGTTAGACTGACAGGAAAGCGCTAAAGAAACCCTCTCAAGCAGATTAGGAGGCAAAAGCGAGAGGGGAGGGGAGGGGTGCAACTCCAAGCGGATAAAAAACACTCCAGAAAGAGAAAGTGTGGAGGCGGAGGGGGGGTGGGGAGAGAGAGAGAGAGAGAGAGAGAAACCAAAGGATATCTTCCCATTAATCTGAGGCAGAACATGATACTGTATGATGCCGGCACATTTTGATTTTTTAACATTATTTGTTATATTGGTCTAAACAAAGCCATTTTCTGAGCTTGATTTCACCAGGCCTGTTTCTGGGAGGTTTTCTCTCCCCACTCTTAAAGCTTGGTCAGAAAGTGCGCTCCTAGCCAAGTTCATTTGGAAGTTCGAGTCAGGAGGGAAGAAAAAGATAATCGATCCCTCCTCCTCCTCCCTCAGCCCGGCGATCCCCAAACATGTCAAGGAGGTAAAAGCTTCTAGTGGGTTTCCTGGTTGCCTCACTTAGACCTCTCCAGCATCCTTAAAATGAGTTGGTTTGGGAGTAAAGAGCAGGGCCCCCCCCCACCCCCGCGCGCCTGCTGTCAAAGGATTGACCTTCCAAGTCAATTGGTATGGGTGGTAGTGGAAGAGAAACTAGTCTACCCTAGGCGCGCTTACTCAGAAGTAAATCCCTGCGGTGTTCAGTACTGCTTTTTCTCCCAAGCAAGCTTGCAGCCTAACAGAACAATCACGTGTAGTCTCTCTCTCTCTCTCCGTCTCTGTCTCTCTATCCGTCCCCTCTATTGTGTTCGGTTACATTTACTCCCTTAGTGTTGCAGCGGACATCATCCTCAGTTTGCAACAGTGCTGCTTAACTGTGTTGGGGATCGGTGTTGGTAATAGCTAACTGCTTTACGATTCCCTCCTCTTCTTGTAAAGGCACCCTAAAACGATGAAAGTTGATTTAAAAATCGTACAAAAGAGAGGGCGAAGGTTGTTTTGTGTTTGGTTAGGTTAGGTTCCAGTTTCACTTATTTAGCTTTCTAAATAGACCATCAGAAATAGAGTGGATCCGTTTTTCAATATGGTATTAGGCTGGCTGGGTTTCATTCCTGCCTTGCTAAAGATTCTCCCCCCGCCCGCCCCGCCGCCGCCCCCGCGCGCGCAAAAAATCTGGCCCTTTCTGTCTTTTCAAATTATTCTCCCACCCCAATGGGGAGAATAGTCTTGCTTTTACAGCTACACACACATACACACGCCATTTCTTACAGATTATTTTACGGATCCAGCAAAGACCACAGTCTACCACGCGAGGAAATAAGTGGACCCTCAATTGCCAGTAACTGTACTTTCCCCAAAAATTGCTTCCACGCTTCAAAGAAGAAGAAGAAGAAGAAAAGACTGTCGAAACCAAAACGGCAGAGCCTCTTCACCACAGTACCGTCTCCCAGTACCCCCTCCCAGCAATCAGGAAAATGTTTTTTTTTTAATAAAAATAAAAATGGAAGTTTCCCAACTTCCTCAATATATTTAAACCTATGCAACTTTTATTTCAAACTTTAACCAAAAAAAGTACGAAAGCGAACAAATCTTGCATTCAGATTTCCTATCCATTGATCTAGACTTGGAAACTGCTGAAAAATGACCAATAGCTGTTTTATCCTATATTTTAAAAAAGGAAAAGGTGCAGCTCAAATGAGAGAGAGGGAGGGAGGGAGAGAAGGATAGGATAGAGAGAGAGAGAGAGAGAGAGAGATGTGGAAGGGGGAAAAAGCTCACCTTATTTAGGGCGATATTTTCATTTTCTTGAATTTTTCTCCAGATCTGTCTTCCTAGAGAACTTAATGCCTTAATGACTTTCGGGTAGCTGCAAGCCCTTCTTTTATTTCTGCTAAATATATGAAAATGTATGCAAATTTAAATCAAGCTTAACCTAGGAGCTCCTGCAATATATTTAATGGAATTTCAAACCAATAAGGGAACTGTGATGCAGCGTTCTGTAAGTGCAAATATAATTATGCAGCTAGGTTACCTCCGAAATTATGCACGGAAAGGTCATTAAAAAAAAAAACTTCGGAGATCCTTGTTCTTTTCTTTTCGAATGTACTAGGGTTTAATTTTCTCAGCTGGAGTACTGCAACAAAATCTAAACGCTCCGATTTCTGCTCTCCAGCTAAAACATTTGCAAGAGGAACACACAACAGACTGTATTGTTGCTATTGTTGTTGTTATCATTGTTATTATTGACATAATAGACGGAAAAGGAACATTAAGGGGAGAAAGAGCAGGAACCTTCCACCCCCCCCCCTTATTTCTCATTGTTTCCCCTACTTATGCTTTGACATTCCTCCTTATTACCTAAAGCCACGTTTTCAGGAATAAGCTTATAAAACAGACAGCAGTACCTTACAGCTTTATGTCAAAGGTAAGGGAGGGTTAGGGTTAGCAGAAAACAATTCTAATTTATTCAAACCGTTTGCCATAGTTTGCGTGTGTGTGTGTTCTGTATTTTGGAAAGGCGTGGAGAAACGAAGCCACTATAACCTCCTGAGTGTATCTAGGAAGGAGGAGAGGGGTTTTCTTGGCACCCGGGGCTGCAAGACGTGCGTCTCTCCTCCTGTCGCGCCACCACAAGTTGTGTGCTTTTCTGTCACAGGCTCCGAGAGGCTTGGAAAGTTGCAGAGCTTGTTGTTAGGGAGCGCGCGGTTTCCCAATTGCTGGGGAGGGGTGGGGGGTGGAGAGGAGGCAGCCGAAGCGTCGGGATGACCAGGGCAACTGTGGAAGCAAACTTTGCACCACCCAACTTAAGGCGAATGGCAGGCAGGATTTGCATTTCAATCAGGCAGCGGGTTAACTGCTGATTTACCAACCAGTCAGCTCAGTGGAAAGGAAACAAATGAATCTCTGAAAACTAGCTTCTCTCTCTCTCTCTCTCTCTCTCTCTCTCACACACACACACACACAGAGAGAGAGAGAGAGAGAGAGAGAGAGAGAGAGAGAGAGAGCTGTTTCATTTCTCTTTCTCTGTGTGTATGAGTATGCAACATACCCAAAAGTACAACAGTGTCATGTATGCAATATGTGTCCCGGGTAAGTGTTCGTCTGATATTTCCTCTCTCACACACGAAGTTTCCTAGGCAAGGTGTAACTTTTGAGGCGCCGGGGAGATTGACTTGAGACAGTTTTGTTTATTTTGTTGTTGTCCCCGCTACCCCAACCCCTTAATCTCTCAGTTGCTTTCAGACTGACTTCAAAATGTTAAGAGGGATTGGGGGGGTATTGTGGGGAGACGTCTATAGATTGTGTTGAGGAGAAGTTGTCCGTCTTAAAGATGGGTATTTAACCTCCCTTCGCCTGCCCCCTCCCAAGTTTTCCAGGAAAGGGGTCTATACCTGGAATTAATCAATACAAATTTAAACCATGCCCTCGCATTCCCTTGCCTCCTCCTTTCCCTTCCTCCCACCTCTTTCCCTTTCTTCTTCTCCTAATAAGATCTAAAAAATGAAGTAGCGGCGGCAGAGGGGCAGATGGGGAGGTGGGTGGGCTGAAATAAATGATATTGTCCTGCAGCGGCGAAAGGGTTAACCCAGTGAATCGTGGGCAGCCCGCTCGCGGCAGCCAATGGAACCTGAAGATTGATTCACTTCCTGCTTCCAGACTCCCTCGTTTTAACCCTTCTCCGCCTGCAAGCTTCTTCGTCTCCCTCTTTCTCTCTCTCCATCCCCCCCCCCACCCTTTTGGACGGGCTCAGAGCCAGCCTCTTTGGCGAATCCTCATTGGTTGCGGCGCCCACTTCCCGGCGGGAAGAGGCTCTCGGATTGGCCGCCGGGGCTGCCCGTCAGCATGCGGTTGCTGATTTGGCTCCCTTTAGGCTGGGTAGATGTCAAAGGCTGAACGCATCTCCCTTTGCCACATTATAACTAGTAGGGGGAATCCTGAGCATCAAGCATGGCTACTGCGGCGTCGAATCCCTACAGCATCCTCACTTCCAGCTCTTTGGTCCACGCAGAATCGGCGGGGATGCAGCAAGGAAGCCCATTCCGGAACCCCCAGAAACTTCTCCAAAGTGACTACTTGCAAGGGGTCCCCAGCAATGGGCACCCTCTGGGGCACCACTGGGTGACCAGCCTGAGCGACGCAGGCCCTTGGTCGTCCACCTTGACCGCCAGCCCTCTGGACCAGCCCGACGTGAAGCCAGGGCGGGAAGACTTGCAGCTGGGGGCCATCATCCACCACCGCTCGCCTCACGTTAGCCACCACTCGCCCCACCACACCAGCCACCCCAGCGCCTGGGGGGCCAGCCCGGCTCACAATTCCTCGCTCACGTCGAGCGGGCAGCCTCCGCCTCCTCCCTTGAACGTCTACTCTCAAGCGGGCTTCACGGTCAGCGGGATGTTGGACCACGGGGGTCTGACGCCCCCTCCGGCTTCGGTCACGCCGCAGGCCATGCACCAGGTGCTGAGGGACACCCCGGACCACGGCGACCTGGGCTCGCACCACTGCCAGGACCACTCGGACGAGGAGACACCGACGTCGGACGAACTGGAGCAGTTCGCCAAGCAGTTCAAACAAAGGAGGATCAAGCTGGGCTTCACGCAAGCGGACGTGGGTTTGGCGCTGGGCACTTTGTACGGGAACGTCTTCTCTCAGACGACCATCTGCCGGTTCGAAGCTCTGCAGCTGAGCTTCAAGAACATGTGCAAGCTTAAGCCTCTGCTGAACAAGTGGCTGGAGGAGGCCGACTCCTCGACGGGGAGCCCTACCAGCATCGACAAGATCGCGGCTCAGGGCAGGAAGCGGAAGAAGCGGACCTCCATCGAGGTGAGTGTCAAAGGGGTCCTGGAAACGCATTTCTTGAAGTGCCCCAAGCCGGCGGCCCAGGAGATCTCGTCTTTGGCGGACAGCCTCCAGCTGGAGAAGGAGGTGGTGAGGGTTTGGTTTTGCAACAGACGGCAAAAGGAGAAGAGGATGACGCCGCCAGGGGACCCGCCGCAGCCGCACGAGGTTTACTCTCACAGCGTGAAAACAGACGCCTCCTGCCACGATCTTTGACTATGAAGGACCCACTCGGGAACTGGGCAGCGGCGCGGATCCTATGGGTGTGACATTCATCCCCCACTCCTCCTCGCCCTCTTTTTTCTTGCGTTCTTCTTTTTCTTCTTCTTCTCCCGACCCTGCCCACCCAAACCAGGATATTATTATTATTATTATTATTATTATTATTATTATTATTATTATTATTAGTAACTTTACCTTCATCAACCCTTCAGGACAACATCAACCCGGCCACGACATTAAGAAAATGAAAAGAATAGTTTATAATACATACCTCCTCCCCACCGTCATTACCCCCCTCCACCCCGCTGCTCATTCCTGGCAGCACATATACTTATTTATATGTCTATACTTATCTTGTTTTTCTTCTGTTTGTCTATCTATCCAACCTTCCCCACCCCCTCGCCGATTTTCTGTGGTAAACATCAAGGCTTTAAAAAAAAAGAAATCTCCGATACGAAGACAACAGAACAAATGCATTGTCTCTCTCTTTCCATATAGATATATACACAAAACGTGCCTATGAATAACCTTTCAGCGCCTTGGTCTGATCCGATGTATTTCAGGTTTTGGGGTATATATATATTTTGTTTTCGCTTTAGCTTGGCTGGACTTGGCTTTGCTCGTTCCTAAACCAGACTTTCTGTATAGCGGCCTTCCGAAGGCCGGGGGTGTCACACTACAACCTGTAGGTAACATTTGTGACCTAAAATTGGAGGAACCCCATTGATCAGCTCCTCCCCCCCCTCCCCCTGCAGGTCACTGATTTTCTGTAAAGGGGGGGAGGAGGAGGCAGGGGGAAATGTATTCTAATTTTCCCAGCCCCCATTAGGGGAGGGTGGAATATGGAACCCCTCTTTTCTAAGCCCCAAAGGCAGAAACAAGAGATGACTAGTCAGAAAATCTGATTTTCTCAACCCTTCTTTGTCCCGCCCTTTCAGATATATTTAAATAACTTTCAGAATTATATAACGTCAACATGGAAATTCTCTAAAAGAAGACTCCTACTCGCCCCCCCCCCCCCGCCATATCCTTCCCCATCCATCCCCGTGCCTGATTTTGGCTTGTCTAAACAAAGATCGAACATGGAAACATCACCAGAATAACTTATATATGTTTGAAAGGCCGACCTTTCCCTGGTCTCTAGCTCTTCGACAATGTTATATATATATATATATATATACACACACACGACTGGATCCATCCTGGTCGGGCCCTGGAGCTACGGTTTGTAGTCAAACCCGTTTCCCGTCCAACGCTTAGCTTCGGAATAAATCGGTTTGCCCGCGTTTCTTATCAAAAGTCAAAAGGAAAACAGCAAGGGTTGAAATTAATAATGGGTATGGGAGGTGGTTGGGTCGAGGTGGGGGGGAAAGGCAGTAAGGAATTGGGTTGTGGTTTTTACTGATATGCTGCAGATCTGGTCAAAAGCGTTTTGTTATTAAGTTGTATTTTTTAAAAAGAGTTTCCCCGAAGCAAATAAAATGCTATTTTGCTTGTAGATTCTTCCCTCCCCTTCCATGCCTGTCATTGGATATAGCTCCCCTTCATTTGTGGACGTGTGTGTTTACAAAGGCGCACATTATAGGGGTGTGCAGGCACACACAAACACGCTGTACAAACAGACGCATTGCCCATTGTTTGTCTACGGACACCTAGGCAGGACCACAATGTGTATATTTTACACGTATACACGTCTTAAGCGAATACACACAGAAACCTGGCACAACGAGGCACCGCAGTTGTTTGTATAGGTGCTTTACAGACATCTAAGTATATATAGATATATATAGTTATACTACTAAAAAAAATCCAGAGTATTGTGCCTACCCATCCGTCACTACTCTGTCTGACACACCTATCGATATAATATGAAAGGAGCCCTAGATGCAAATTTGCAGCTCTGGAATGATGCAAAAACAACGCCAGTTTAATTATGGAAAAGGATTCCCCCCCCCCAATTTCCCGCCCCCGTTTTCAATCCAAATTCTTTCCAAGCATAAACAATGTTCATTTCCATATTTTCTCTCTGGCAAGCCTGAATATGCGCTTAATATCCCAACAATGAAGACCCCGCTTTCTGCCAACTTTATATTAAGGAAAAAAGAAAAAGAAAATACCTGTACAGTTTTGTATATTCTAAACGTTTTTGGGAAGTTATTAATTTAAAAGGGGGGAAAAGATCATTTAGATTATTCATTTAGTAACTGATGTATAATAAACGCTATTTTCATTAAAGGTTGCTTTTTCAACTATTTTATTCCAAATTCCCTATCGCAGTTGCCGACAATTATTTATTTTCAATAAATTCCTCATTATGTTTTAAAAAAAAGTCAGAAAAAATAATTATATATATATATATATCCTCGAAGCGGCTGTCCAGGGAAGGAAGGCGTAAACATAAAACGATTCGCTTGTGATGTTTGTTTGTCAACCACTTTTAGTCAAGGGGGGGTTTATATTGACGCAATATTTTATTGTTGTACAGACGAACACACACAAAAGGTCTGAATAAAACATTTTTACAGGTTAAAAGAAGTTGCGTTATTTGTGTGGTGATAAAACAAAAAAAAGAAAGAAACCCGGGAAACTTTACAGAAAAATAAAAATAAATAAACTTTCTCGGTCCCCGCCCCCCCCCCCTTCCAATATGCTTTACGGCCTTGCTCTTTTAAAAATATTTCTTCTTGTTGTTAATTATTATTTAGGGTTAAAGGGTTAGACATTAATAGAGAAGAGCCAGCTTTTTTGTGTTCAAATTCCCATCCGCCCTTTCAATCCTATGTGAAATTTGTTGTTGTTGTTTTGTTTAAGAAATCTGTCAATTTCCTCTCTCAGACAATATTGAGGCTAATATATAGCAAACGCTGGTATCTATACCAGTCAGCTGGCAGGCCCTTCTAAGGCTTCCATCTTTGCTGGAGAAGGGAGAGAAAGGAGAGTCTCACACCCTTTTTCGACAGGGC